CCCCTAACGTTTAATTTCTCTGGGCCCAGCCTTACTGATTCTCCTCATACTAAAGAATCCTTAAATCTTCAAGTAATCCCACTGAGTAAGTTGCTAAAAACATTCTAATAAAATCACACAGGACGTATTTCTGGGCGAGGATGGGTAGCACCATGGCGACCTACTTAAAAACTGGGTACCCCAAACCTCAGAATTTTCCTCAAACGTTTTTCTAGCTTTTGTTATCACAACCTTCCTCCCACCAGTCTGAGGGGAAAGAAGGTAAAGGTAGATTTGAATTTGCCTCAGAAATAAAGTATCTACCTAGATTGAAGTCATACTAATGGTTTTAGGAAGTAATCCTCTACTTCCAGCATTCCTTATAAAGCAGGTGCTTATTTTATTTTACTTTATTTTATTTAACAGTACTATATAAGCCTGGTGTTAGGCAGCGTGAGATGCATCAAGGCAGGCTCTCAGTCAGAGCAAGCTCCTCCAGGGCTGGGGCAGAGGGTGTCTGTGCCGCTCTGCCCGCGAGTCCCGATCCGTAGGCAAACCCCGGTTCCTCCCATAACAGATTTGGGTGATAACATGCAGTGAATTTCTCTTACGAACTCTCTAGAGTTCATAAGCTGCAGTGTTTTCACAGGCAACACGGCACGTTCTTCACGACCACACCAGCCGTCCCAACTAGAATTTAGTCATCCGGCGCTTGCCTTCAGCCTCCCGACGCATGAGAAATGCGGTGAGGCATCCTGAGAAGCCTGACATACTACAGCTGCCAAGGCAGGCTGCGGTCTCTCGCATTAGTGGCAGATGACAGCTCACTTACTTGAACACAGACAAAGAGAAGTCTGCCACAGAGCAGCTCCTGCAGGACTGGAGGGAGGAAACAGCTGTCAACTATTTCTTGGATTACAGGGATATTTCCAGCTACAGCTTTAGGCTATGTAACTCTAAAATCCTAAATACAATTTAAGGTATTCCTGTACCAGGAGAGGGGTCAAACTAGAAGGCTCTTATAGCTGAAAGCCTAAATCTTCTCTGAAACAAGAAATACATCTCCTGGCATTATTAGAGAACTCAGTAAGAGCCAAAATAAACAACAGCATCACTTTTTTAGAGAGAATACAGAACATGCTGGAGGTTTATTGAGTTTTGCTTTATCTGGGAAGAAACCGGAAGACACTGCCTGCCTTTGTTAAGCCCTTGAATGGATGCCTTAATACAAATTTCAGCCTCATTGAGCAGGGTACAAATTAACTATCCAAAGGGAACTATATGAGAAAAAGAGGAAGAATGAACCAGCTCTACAGGGATGAAGACTAAGCCTAGACGAGAGAATAACTTTCTTTGAAGAACTAGTTTTCTCATTCTGGTACTTTGAATGATCCTGCTACATAGGAAATGTAGAAGTGTTTTACAGAACAAAAGAGGATGTAGCTTAATTTTCTCAGCAAGACATTCAATCCTGTGGATAAAAAAATAGCAACACAATTGCTCAAAACTGGCAAGTTATGTATGGAAAGAACAAATGGGATCCAGAAAAAGACAGGCATTATATAATTTATGGAAGGATCCGTGTGTTTTGTTTCCAACTCTCTAAATGGGAATTCTGTGACTTTAACCTCGGGGGAAGGAGCATAGGCCATTAACACAAACAAGAAGGAAGAAGTAAGCTCAGTCAGTGAGTCATAGCCACTATGCAAACTTTGCCTTACATCTGTGTTTTCCCATGCTGCTCTGAACCCTTGCCTCAGACTCTTGCAATGGACAGAATGCCAAATAGGAGTAGATCAGATTGTATTTTTCCACCCTGGGTTTCTTTTTCAACATGAAAAAGTACCCATTAGGGACTAGAGTTGGCACTAGCAGAGGAACCGAGCAGTGTCCCTGGGTCTAAAACTCACTTACTAAAATTTCCAGGTCCTTCAAACAGGGCCTCCAGCCTGCAGAAATGAGCTTCTGTCTCCTCAAGGCTGTGCTGGAAATTCCAGGGGTAGATGGGAATAAAGCAAGCAAGTGGTCACTTTTAATACATCCCACCTGCTGTCCCAGCAGGCTAAGGCATGAGCCCTGCCTGCTGGAGCAGGCAGGAGGGAAGAGAAAAAAACTCCGACTGAGGGCTCACCGCAGGCTGTCAGCCTGGCCAAAATTCAGCTGCTCGGACATCCAAACCGAAGGCTGCCAGTTACGTGTTACGTTTATGATCAGAAAATATATGGAGTATTTTTGTCTTCAAAAATGAAGGCATGGAAAAAGGTTCAAAGCCTGTTTGCTGGCAGAGCAGGAGAAGGTAGGTGTCTAACACGTTAGCCTCTGTCACTTTGGTGTCCACCCCCCCCGGTTTTTGCCCCCACAAACAGGAACTGCTGTGTAGCATGCAGTGGCCATTTTTCCACCTTCCTCACCACAGCTGGCCTGTGGTCAGCCCACTCTTTGGCTGGGACAAACTAAGGGTAAAGGTGAAGTACAGGGCATTGACGGCTTCCTTCTCTCCTCCCATGGACATACAAGTAGCACTCAAGACAGCTCCACGGCTGGGACATGCGGAGCAGCCTAGCTGCCAAGTCCTACCTCCAAAGGGACATAGCACACCACCACAGTCCCTTACCCGCTCTGTGCCTACATGTGCTCCTTGCTCTCAGTACACGTAGGTGACTGCAAACCACTATCCTGTCCCCATGGAGCCTGGGCTGGGCTGGGCTGTGGTGGATGCATTTTCGAAGCAGAGGAAATGCCAGTACTCTTGCAACCAGATGCCCTGAGCCCAAAGTACATGAGACAAGCCATTTATCCAGTGTGAGACAACAAGAAAAGAAAGCTTACCTGGTTGGTCATAGGATGCCCATGCTAGGTTTTCTCCACATTTTCCATTAGCAGACTCAGAGCTGTGTTTGAGAACCCTCGTGGTAGCCAGTTCTTCTGCATACCTAGCAAAGCAATCCATACATTGTGTCACAGACCACAGCCAGAGTGGGCACAGAAGAGGAAGAGGAGGAGCAGGAGGAGGAGAGGGAAACACAAGCAAGGAGTGTTGCTGGAAGATGATGGTTTAAGCCAAGTTACACAGCTGCAAAGCCCTGAAGTCGGGGATGCTTTAAGCCGACATAAATCTAGGAGTCAGGAAAAGGGAAGGCCTAGAGGCCATTCTCCCTGTCTTTCATGAGCTTGTATCACCGCTAAGAAGGACCTAGAAGAAATCAAAGGGCAGATCTCCTCCCACCATGTTCTGCCCAGAACCTGGAAATCCACCAGCCATCCCTGGCTGCAGCTGCTGGGGGAAAGGGAAGCACCTGCAGCAATTGCTACAGGTGTCACCTCCTGACATTTCTAAGCCCCTCACAGGAGTAACTTAAATGTTCTTAATGAGATGGAGAAAGACCAAAGTGGGGATTCAGTCAAAGTAAGTGTATAAAACCTACATTTACAAATGAATAAAAGCCAAAGGCAAAACAAGAGCAACGTGCCAGGCACCAGTACGGAGGAGAAGGGGACCACCTGGAGAATCTGAGGCAACAACTGTGTACACCAAAACAGGGATGAGCCACAGCATTTCTATAAAGTTGACATGTGTGAGAGCCTGGGATGTATTTTATTGTCTTATGACAATAGGGTTAAGAAGAACATCATGTGTAAAACAACTATTCTCTTTATTCAACATTGGAAAGGCTTCAGGACAGAGACAGTGAAATTGGAAAGACCGTTTGTTATTTCTCACGGCACAAGGAATAGGAGGCAACACACTAAATCATCAGGTTGTAGATTTAAAAGTCAAGTAAGACAAAGCGCTTTTTCCACACCGTGCAGCAGAAGTCATCGCCACAGGACAATGCAGACACCAAGGCACATGCGGGTTTGCCAAAGAGCTAGACAAATTTATAGTGTGTGTGTGTAATCTTCAGGGTTTATTAAACACCACCAACAAAAAAATGAGGATACGATCTACTGCTTAGGAAAAACGTAATTTTCAGGAGAAATCTGTAATTTCCGGGAGAAGATAATGGGGGAAGATCACCACATTTGTTTTGTCCTGCTACTCCTTCCCTAATCATGAATTACTGGCATCCGCCAGAGACAGGAAATTTGTCCAGCTGAACATTTTGGCCCAAGCTAGTACTTCAGTCATTAGGTTCTCATTTCCTTCTGTCCTAATCCTCCCACCAAAACAACAAAAAGAAAAGTATTTAGCTACCTCCATTAATTTAGAAATAATGAAAACTTGTCAGTTGTCAGCCTGCTAGACCCTGAACTAGAGGATCTCTAGACGCTCCTTCATGCCCTATATCACCACAGTCCTGTAATTTTTGTCTTCAAGGATTCCCACATCCCAAGCAAGAGGCAAGACTGGAACAAAGTACACATCGCACACGGACAAAGTTGCCAAGGATTTGAGACAAAGGATGATTAATTCTCTCTAGCTCAGGCAGTTGAAAGCATGAGATTTGCATCTGAGATCATCACCCTATGCTTCATTATAGTCAGAGAGAAGCAGACACCTGCTGTGGGTGACTCATCTCATGCTAAAGCAGGGATCCAATAGTCAGTTCACCCAACCTGCTGCAATTATTGGAACTGAAAATACTAGGAAACAGACCATTTTCAACACAGAGAGCGAAGCACAGAAAAATACCCAGAGATTCACCAAATATCTACCAACAAAGATATCAGATATACCTAAAGAAAAGGTGAAGTTCTTCTTTGAATTTAAGATCATGCAAAATCTGTCTTGACAAATACGAAATTTCTTATATTTCATGTCTTTTATTCAGATCAAACCATTTCTGGTTCTTGCTATCAACCAGTTTCACCAGTCTCTGAACATGCATCTTTTAATTCTTACAAGTTAAGTTACAGACCGCAACCAAAGAAAGATTTCCTATTGTTATTCATTCCAGTGGGGAAAGTCAGCTGAGACCAGAGAGGACTGTGAGGAATTCCAGAAGGATCTAAAAATACCCAGCAAGGGCAATAGCACACTTGGAGATAAATGTGGAGCAATGCATATTTGACAGAATAATCTGAACTATTCATACAAGTTGACTTGTTCAAACCAACTGTATCACTCTGGAGACAGAACAAGTGTTCTTGACAAGTCAATGAAATTTCTTCCTCATCGTGAGGCATCATGGAAAACAGAAACAAAACAACCCTTTGAAGAATAGAAGGAAAACCCCAGCAGATTACAAAGGTATGTGGATGAGTCACTGGCATTCCACCTCTTAGAAATACTGTATCCAGTTATCATGGTGTATCAAGAAAAAAAAAGTGTGAAAAAATAAAAGACAGAATCAGATTTTGCTTGCTGCCAGGGAGCATGTCCACATGCCAAGTACATGGTGCGTTGTACAGCTCAACACCCGGCGGAGATCTCTGGTCTAGGAGCGCGGGAGCTGGTGCATCTGTGTGACAGCGCAGCACCGTGCTGGGACAGAAAATCAGGTTCTGGAAAGGCTTACAGCCTCCCTGGTTCCCAGCCAGCCAGTGAGGAGAAGTCTGCACGGTTATGGTAGAAAGCCTAACGGGAGATGAGATCTCATGTCTGCAGGGATCAAACTGGCCACTATTTAGCTATTATGGAAAGACATTTATTTTCTGAATAGTTTAATCATCATTTATTCCTTCAGGTATCTCCTTTGTACTGTGAGGATCAGCCTGAAAAAATTGAAGATTTCAAATCTACTTTGAAAAAGGTTGCTGTAAAGGGAAAGGAAATAATCTGATTGTTGTGTCTACAGGAAAGAGGACAAGCAGTATTGGACTCAAATTTCTGTAAGGAAGACTTAAGTCAGACAGCAGGAAGATGGATCCACTGTACGTTAGACTGACAAGAAGTTGTGCAGTCTTCGGCACTGGAGAAGAGGTAAGATGTGTCCCTCCTGACAGACTAGAGAACAACGTATACTGATTTTGCTTTTGGGGCAGGGAGATAGACAATTTGATCTGAAATTACTTCCTTCTGATTCCATCACTTCCTACCATGAAAGAGTCCTTTTCTCACTATTTCAGCAGCAGTGGGTATTCTCCTGCAGATGACAATCCATCATCTGACAGAGGTGGTGGTGAAGCATGTTTTAGGCAACTACCCTCTGTAGAGGAGGTATACCAGTGTAGACAGATGCAACCCACATCTGGAAAAGGGTGCAAGAAAGATTTATACAGTTGTGACCACAGAAGTGTCCATGTGACCAGCTGGTGCTATGTGATGGAGAAAGAAGGGACGAAAAGGGTTGGATAGGGAGACAGAAAGAGTAGAGTCCCTCACTTTTCACCCAGTAAGTCTTCATTGAATATCAGCACGTCAAAAGGCAAATATTTTTGCAGTATGCACAGTCAAACCTAACGGATAAAAGTGTCACAAATCTCATTAGAGAAAAGAAAGGACTGAACTCACTGTTGGGCTCCTCTGTTTAACTTCTTGCAGAGTTTTAACGGGGGGACTCCGTGTTTCTTCCTGTAGTCATTGTGTGCTTTCAAGACTTCTTCAGCAAATTGTTTGGAAGCTGAAATCACATCAAAAAAATGGAAAAGTCTGTCAAATACAGACATTAGTGAAGACAGAAAAAGCATACCCTGTAGCCAAGACGCTGGTGCAGGCTCGACTGAAGAACAGAAGAATACCACCCTCATTACCTGGGAGTAGGATGAAATGAACCGTTAATGCCTTCCGTCCAGGAACTAACTCTAAGAGACACTCCCATTGGGATGGTGCAGTCTCACTAAAGGTTGAAGAAAAATGTGAAAACCTTATTCCTTTCCTCAATAGCAAGGTGATTTAAGGTTACTTTGACTGACTTTCATTTTAAGATTTCAGCGCACTGCATCACCATTGCAAAGAAGTCTCGGATTAAGTGACAAATAGGTCCCTTGAGGAGATGCACAAAAAATGCAAATTATTGTCACTGCATGCAAGAATTTTCTGTATTAGTCAAGACACCACCTAAAGAAAATGGAGATACTAAAATGTGTAGAGCTATGCAAATACTTTGAAACAGGCATCGTTCTTTTCGTTATATAGTACAAATTCATGGAAATCTCAAAATGCACCTTTATTTGGCTCAAGACAAATAACTGTTCACAAACAGCAAGTGGTAAGGAAAGGAACGACTGCTGGGGATGATTTTTTCCCCTGTGCTAGAGTGCATTCGGTAAATATCTGAATTCCAAAGTTACTGCAAAGCTTTAAAAAAGCTCCTGTGTGTACTCTGATAAACTTGAGACTTTCAGCAGCACAAGGCAGAGGACAAGCAACAAGTCACAGTGCAATTCACCTTGATGGCAATTTCATGTACCTCCTTTTATGACTTTGGTGATTTTTTTCCCCAAGATTCAGAGAAAAAAAAGTCTTCGCTGGCACTGATCACCCTGTGGAATTTGCTGCTTTAAGAGAAATTTGGAACCTGAAACAGGGTATTGGGGCAGTTAGAGAGGTATGAATAGCATCTTCAAAACCGAAAGACAGTTTTCACTTTCCCTGTTCAGAAGCTGAAGCTTCTGAACAGGCCAAGACATATTTGAGTATTTACTCCACTTTTACTATGACACAGGTTTCTACATTTATGAATGATTCATCAGCTTTATTTCTGAATATCCTAATTAGCACGACTACCATCATTTTCCTTGCAAGAGACTTTGAAACCCAAACAGACCTCATGACTAGAAAGTGTTTCCTGTTACTAAGCTGAGCTTTCTCAACTTCCTCTCACTACTCGATCCCAACAACTATAATCAATCATTCTCTCCTTTATTAGCGTGTACACTATTCTGCTGTTTGTAATGATGCATTTTCCCACAGTAGACCTGTCAGTTTGCACATACTGCTCTCGTAACTTTTTGCTAAGGTGATTACCCAACCCACGCTCATGCTTTAAGCTGTTCTCAGAGTTCTCTCCAGTTTCCCCAACAGCTTTAGGATAACATGGCAATCTAAGATAATCTCAATATCCAATGCACATAGAAAGCCGTTACTGTTTCACACAGTACCTTAAATCTTTTGAACACAGTCTGAAGCTGGGTTGACCTTTTCCAGACCAAAGTGTCATTGTGGACATGTATCTAATATATTCTCCATCAACATGCTTTCAGGCTCGATTGTTTTGGTCTAAAATTGTTGGCATAACACAGCAACAGGGACTCTGTTGAGAATGAGATGAGATCTGCCCACCACCTTCCTCCTTTTCGGTTTTCCTTCAATTTTGTGTGTCACAAGTTGCATATCATCAAACAAAACAGGCACCTCCACTCTGGTGTTTAAGCACCCACATACCCTTTTGCTAACAAACCTCTCCCATCACTCTTATTACCATTGCTCACAGCTCACTGATTCTATCAGGCCAAAATCCTAAACCTCTCATCTGCTGCATCATGCGGGGTCATGGCCTATTTCTAAGGCATCTATCATAGGTTACTGAGGAAAGCAAGCCTACAGCCAGTTCACTTAACTTCACTGATGCAGGGGTCCATGCTTCCAGCAGGGAAATTTTAAGACAGCCTGTAAATCAAAGAAGTTGAAATACACGTCTTCGGAAGTTGCATCACATACTCCAGGCTGCATTTTTCTGCACAAGACCATCTTGTGCAGACCTAGGCTTAATACCTCATCTGCTCAGCATTAAATAGTAGATAAACAATCTGACCTGCAAGTGTGAAAGTTTCTATTCAAATTGTTTGCTCGCAATGACAATAACAAACTGAAATTCTAAAAAAAAAAATTAAGTCAACTGAAATACAGGTTTTGTCAATTGTCAGTCCATCCATTAACAGAAGTATTGCATAGTCCAGCTCTGTACTAACATTTTGACTTACAAAGACGAACAAGACACGGGCAAAACTGAGTTTCTTCTAGCCACAGCAGGCACCGCTATGCTGTCCCTACAGAACCTCCATCCTCCCCTTCCCTCAAAGGTGGCTGCTATACAAACACTTATCTACCATGACTCAAGCTCATGTGCTAACCGCCTCCCTCTGCACAGCCTTCTCCTGTGCATGCTGATGTGTGGAGAGGGACGCCCAACTGCCAAATGTATTTCAGATTTGTTTTGGAAGACATGTTAAGTTTTTCCATTTTACCAGTGTTCCATACACTGAGAAGCCAGACATTAAAAGTGAGAGTTAACGGGAGTTTTCAGGCTCCCACCCAAATGGGAACAGCTTCCCAAACAGCTTTGGAGACGTACTTTTTTCCCTTCATGTTGGCTGCTTAAGCTGCTAGAAAAAATTATTTCCTACTGCCATGAAGTTAGGTTTGGTCATGAATCATTACACAGCTTAATAAGTAAAACAACTAAAGGTATCAGATACAGTTGCTTGCTTCTCATTATTCAATTATTTACCTCTATTTTGGATTCTTCTGGAACATTGGCTAAGATAATGACAGCACATGACAACGAATTGCCAGGCTGTGATGTGGTACAGAGCACACCTTACAGTTGTTGGACTTTCAGTTTCATTGATCGACTTCGTGTGACCACGGAAAAGTAAGCAGAGGCATCTAGGTTGCCTTTTCCCATCAGATTTGTTTTTCTGAGTATTCTATTTCTCCATTCTCTTACTCTCTCTTAACAGTGCCAATCTATTCAGTCTTTCTCCAGTGAAGAGCCCTTCATGCCTGAATCCTTCCTGCCTCTTCTTTCAACCCTGCCTTCTCCTGCTCTGTTCTTTCCTTAGTTTGGACATTAGAACAGAAGCAAGTTATCTGAACATGTCTTCTATAATACTAGTTGCTCTGCATCATCTTTGCAGCCGTCAACTGGACCTACTCCACTCCTCTAGCAGAGCTGCAAGATGATGTGTGGAAAGAGTAACAGTAGAATATTCCACAAAAACCAAACATGGAATCTCTCCACCCAATACCTACACAACAGAAATGCTGTGGGCAGCCCTTATGTCACCACTCAGGACGCACAACATTATACCAGGCATACACTTGACTAGCAAAAAAGGCATACTTTTTTTATGACTAAGTATCCACCCCAGTGATTCAAGAAAGAGCATAGTATCCACTTCTGGAAGTATCATTGTCTTCTCAATGTTCTCTGTCCTATTGTTTATGGATTAATCTTCACTGGCAATTTTGTACTTTCCATACATACTCCTTTTTTCTGTTTAGCCTTCAGATAATTAACACAGAATGCAGTCCACAAGAAATGGACCTGATGTTGAATCCTGCACAGAAGTGTACCATTATGTTTGTCTCAATCCCTCTTTGAACCGTGACATAGGCCTCAACTCTTCACCCAATGTGTGCATTACAGGTAAGTGGAGATAATGACCTCACCTTTCAATTCTGCCCCAAAATAAATCATTAGAAATGTGCTCATATAATGGCGAGAGCAACATATCTGAAGAAAGCTACAAAATACACTTCAAAGCACCCACTCTTTTGGAAAGAGGTAAACGCAAAAGCCTGATACCGACAACCTTGGCGACGTGACTCATATTCCCCAGGATACTGCATGTTACTTCCCCACTATTTCCTGCCCAGAACACAGGGAGGAACATTAGTTACCCAGGCAGAAAGAAGCCAAGCGCCAGAGTAAATGGAGAGGACACAAATGCAAAATGGACAGAAAACACATAAAAAGGTAACCGGGTAACTGTTTAAACACTGAGTATAGCTCTGCTTTAATACTGAAGTCCCTTCAGTCTCCCTTGACTCTGCAGAATTGCTCTACCCTAATCTGATAGCAGCAATGGGGCGTGGAATGAGAATGCAGCAAATACAACTTTTAATATGCCCAACAGCTTTGTGAAAAAATTAGAGGCTTCAGGGAACTGCAAAGTAATTACATCAAGAAGTCCTTCATTACTGCCCCAGATAACTCAAGATGCCTCTATTTCGACAAACTTCTCAAAGTATATTAACAGATTAGAAACAAACAAAATTCGTGAGTAGAAGACATCCCAGCTTCTAATGACCGCATTTTCATCTAGACCTTTCTAAGAGACCTGACATATTTATTATTAGTAGTCTTTATTAATAAACTTTATCCTCACTTGAAATGTAATTCCCTGGAAACTAGCCCCAGCTGAATCTTTCACACTCTGAGAATAATGTTGCTTCAACAGAGAAGTGACAGATATTTAACTGATACGAGAAATGTTAAGAGGACAGTTATGCTTCTACTGCATTTTGACTCAGCACTTTGGTTTGAAGTCACAAACACTCCAGCATGGTCTTATACTGGCTGGCCTCTGCAGTGCCACAAGGAGTGAATGTTCCTTGTGCCTTTCTTCATGTATTTGACTGCACCTTCTTGCTCCCCGTTTGGGACAGTAGCACCTTCAAAGACTGGCCCTTAATGCTATTCCTGAATACGTCATTTGGGAGCACGGATCTGATGCTCCAATTCGTGAATCACTTCCAGCCATAAAAACTGACCTCCTTCAGTGCTAAACTCCCCTGTAGTCTAACAAAACTGGCCGATTGCTGGGAAACATACAGAAGAAATGAAATCACGTATACATCCTGGAAGGAAGGAAAGATAAAATGATACTATATTCA